TAGAGGAGCACTAGACTGTAGATAAAAGTATATAGTCTGCTAGAGGAGCACTAGACTGTAGATAAAAGTCCATAATCTGCTGGAGGAGCACTAGACTGTAGATAAAAGTCTATAGTCTGCTAGAGGAGCACTAAACTGTAGATAAAAGTCCATAGTCTGCTAGAGGACCACTAAACTGTAGATAAAAATCCATAGTCTGCTGGAGGAGCACTAGACTGTAGATAAAAGTCTATAGTCTGCTAGAGGAGCACTAGACTGTAGATAAAAGTCCATAATCTGCTGGAGGAGCACTAGACTGTAGATAAAAGTCTATAGTCTGCTAGAGGAGCACTAAACTGTAGATAAAAATCCATAGTCTGCTGGAGGAGCACTAAACTGTAGATAAAAGTCCATAGTCTGCTGGAGGAGCATTAGACTGTAGATAAAAGTCTATAGTCTGCTGGAGGAGCACTAGACTGTAGATAAAAGTATATAGTCTGCTAGAGGAGCACTAAACTGTAGATAAAAGTCCATAGTCTGCTGGAGGAGCACTAGACTGTAGATAAAAGTATATAGTCTGCTAGAGGAGCACTAGACTGTAGATAAAAGTCCATAGTCTGCTAGAGGAGCACTAAACTGTAGATAAAAATCCATAGTCTGCTGGAGGAGCACTAGACTGTAGATAAAAGTTTATAGTCTGCTAGAGGAGCACTAAACTGTAGATAAAAGTCCATAGTCTGCTGGAGGAGCACTAAACTGTAGATAAAAGTCCATAGTCTGCTGGAGGAGCACTAAACTGTAGATAAAAGTCCATAGTCTGCTGGAGGAGCACTAGACTGTAGATAAAAGTCTATAGTCTGCTGGAGGAGCACTAAACTGTAGAATAAAGTCCATAGTCTGCTGGAGGAGCACTAAACTGTAGATAAAAGTCCATAGTCTGCTGGAGGAGCACAAAACTGAAGATAAAAGTCTATAGTCTGCTGGAGAAGCACTAAACTGTAGAATAAAGTCCATAGTCTGCTGGAGGAGCACTAGACTGTAGATAAAAGTATATAGTCTGCTAGAGGAGCACTAAACTGTAGATAAAAGTCCATAGTCTGCTGGAGGAGCACTAGACTGTAGATAAAAGTCCATAATCTGCTGGAGGAGCACTCGACTGTAGATAAAAATCCATAATCTGCTGGAGGAGCACTAGACTGTGAAGGCTGGCAATTGAAATGAAGAAAATCAGACTTTGGTCTGTGGCTGGTATTTTGGTGGAAGAATATTAGACTTGTATTAGGGCTGTTAGCATGATAGAGGAACACTAGACTGGGGTAAGGGATGGTAATCTCTAGTATAGGGATTCTTAACCTGGGGTCCATTGATCCCTAAGTGGTCCCTGGAAGGGTTTCAGGGGGTCCGTGAGGGTCAGATAAAAAAAAACCATTTACAGTCACTATACAGCCCCCCCCCCAATCCCAATCAATGGTTTCCATTTGAAAGAGGTTTAAGAAAATGTCCCCTGCCACTGCTTATGGCACCTACCGCCAGGGCTCTGGCACCTCCAGCACTGAATGTATGTAATCGCAAGGGGTGCTGGGATGTGCTTGAGGATCTATTGTTGTTGGCTGCTTGGGGATCTATTGTCACTGGAGGGGATCTATTTTTGTGCGGTGGTCTATTTTTGCTGATGGGGGATCTTTTGTTGACGTGGGTCAATTGTTGCTGGAAGGGATCTACTGTTGAGGGAGGGGTCTCCTGTCTATTGTTGCTGGCTGCTGGAGAGTCTATTGATGCTGGTTGCTGAGATAATCTGTTGCAGCTGCTGGGGGTCTATTGTTGTTGGGGTGGTATTTCGTTTTGGGGGTCCATTGTTGCTGGAGGAATCTTGTTGCTGGGGGGGTTTAATGCTGCTGGCTGCAGATCGATTTTACTGCTTTCCTTGTCATCATTAACAAATGGTACTGGTAGGTGGGTAGGGGGTGGTGCCAAGTGACAGCGCTCAGAGGTGGATAGGGGGGGCGGAGACTAACTGAAAAGAGGGGAGTTCCTGCACCTATTTCTTGAGAAAAAAAGCCTTGCCTACCGCTAATTATTTCTTCACTTGTTGTTGGCCCATGTTTGCCATTTACATTTCTAACATCATTCTCCGCACAACCGCCATCTTGTGCCACTCCATAACAGGGGAGGACTGACCATTTGGAAACTCGTGCACTGCCCGGGGGCTCGGGGTCAGTAGGGGGCCCCATGAGATGCCCCTGGTACCTTTTTCATAGGCTTTTTTGAGTTTGGGCAAGGACACAGGGGCCCCATGATCCCCTATTGCCCGGGGGCCCCATGAGTTGTCAGTCTGCCCCTGCTCCATCATAACAAGTGCTAATTCTCATTTTCTAGTTGTAGTAGTAGATCTGAGCAGAATTAAAATGGCTTTGTTTAATTTGCACAAGATGATTGTATTTTATTTTTGTGATGACTGGCCGTTACTTTTTGCATGGAAAGGAGTGGGGATTTTTGTCATGATTGTTTCCTTTATTTAAACTTTGTGTATGTCAGAGAATGAAATGAGAAGTACATACAGGGCTGTGTATAAAGGTACACACAGGGAAAAAGTATTTGCTCCCTTCCTTTGTTTTGGTTTTTTTTTTTCATTTTTGTCACACCTAAATGATTCAGATCATCAAACAAATTTTTATGTTACACAAAGATAGCTCGAGTAAATACAAAATGCAGTTTTTAGATGATGATTTCATTTATTAAGGGAAAAAAGCTGACCCAACCTGACTGGCCCTATGTGAAAAAGTAATTGAACATAATAACTGGTTGTGCCACCCTTGGCAGCAACAACTGCCATCAAGTGTTTGCAATACCTAGCAATGAGTCTTTCACATCAGTGTGGAGGAATTTTGGCCCACTCTTCTTTGCAGAATTGTTTTCATTCAGAGGTTTTCCAACATGAACGGCCTGTTTAGCCCCTTCACGCCGGCGCCGCCGGGCCCTTTAAGAGTTTCAGAAGCCCAGAGGCGGGGGGCGGGTGGGCGGGGTTTAGGGATCATGTGACCGCCGTGACGCGTCGTCGCGGCGGTCACATGATCGGGAAAGGTCCCGATCAAAAGAGGAGACCGGGACCTTTCCGTGAGTACCGTACATGTTTGCTGGGAGCACGCAGGGGCGCGCGCTCTCAGCACATATGTATTTTGTATATTGAATGCAAATGTGCGGCCGCTCGGCGTCTAGGCCCAGACGCTGGGAGGCCACGCATATGTGTGCGGCTGGCGTAAAGGGGTTAAGGTCATGCCACAGGAACTCAATTCGATTTAAGCCCGGACTTTGACTAGGGCACCCCAAAACCTTCATTATGGGTTTTTTTTAGCCCTTCAGAGGTGGACTTTTAGCCCTTCAGAGGTTGTCCTGCTGCATAACCCAAGTGTTCTTTAGATCATGGACCGATGGCTGGACATTCTTCTTCAGAATGTTCTAGTAGAGCAAAGAATTCATAGTTCCATCAATTATTGCAAGTCATCCAGGTCCTGCAGCTGCAAATCAGCCCCAGATGGTCATACTACCATCATCATGTTTGACTGTTGGTATGATGTTCCTTTTCTGAAATGCTGTTAAATGGTGCCAAACGTACACCTTCCAAAAAGTTCAGCTTTTGCCTCATTAGTCCACAGAATATTTGCCCAACAGTCTTGGGGGTAATCAAGATGTTTTTGGGAAAATGTGAGACCAGCCTTTATGTTCTTTTTGGTCAGCAGTGGCTTTGGCCTTGGAACTCTCCCATGGAGGCCATTTTTGCCCAGGGTGGTTAACCCCTTTGCGTTTGCACCTCCCAGCCCTTTAAGGGGTTTCAGAAGCAGGGAGGCAGGTTGGGGTTTTAGGGTCATGTGACAGGCGTGATTCGCAGTCACGGTGGTCACATGATCGGAAAAGGTCCCGATCGCAAGGGGAGATCGGGACCTTTTCGTGAATCAACGACATATGTTCTGGGAGCGCGCGCTCTCAGCACATATGTATTTTCAAATGGTACGCAAATTTGCGGCCGCTCGGCGCCAAGGCCCAGCCGCCGAGAGGCCGCATATTTGCATTCGCTCGGCGTCAAGGGGTTAATTACAAGTAATTCATGATTTAGCAAACGGGAAGGGGGCAATTACTTTTTCACATAGGGCCAGGCAGGTTTGGACAGCTTTTTTTCCCTTAATAATGAAATCATTATTTAAAAAACTGCATTTTGTATTTACTCGGGTTATCTTTATGTAATATTAAAATTTGTTTGATGATCGGACTCATTTAAATGTGACAAATATGCAAAAAAAAAAAATCAGGAAGGGAACAAACACTTTTTTTCACAGCACTGTATATTCATTGCATGCAAAGTTGTGTTTATGGGAATATTTCTGGGGAGGGGGTCCATAGCTTTCATCACATTCTTAAAGGGGTCTATGACAAAAAAAAGGTGAAAACCACTGCACTAGGAGAATATTAGACATGGGTAATGGCTAGCAGTTTGGATGAGGAGCACTGGTAGTGGGTAAGGTAGGCAGCCTGAATGAAAGATACTTATCGTGAACAAATAATAACCGATACATTAAAAGAAAATAGATTATGGATAAGTGAACATCAGCCTCGGGGTAACGACTAGTAGACTGGATGACGCATAATAAGTATTAGGTAATGACTAGAAGACTGGATGAAGAACAATAGACTATAACTAAGAAAAACGTAGAAGGACATAAGAAGTAGAAGATACACTAGACTGTTTCATTGCATGAGATGCTGGGCTAAGAGTAAGGACAAGCACTTCAAAAACATTAGGGACACTAGACTGGGGGTATGGGTTGGTAATCTGCATCAGGACACTAGATTTTGGGTAGGGGCTTGAAGACTGGATAAGGACCATGAGGAACATTAGATTTGGAATAAGGGCCAGACAATTATGGACAAGCATTGTGCATATTATAGTGAGTATTAGACTGTGGATAAGATTTTTTGATAAGAAATACCAGATTCTATAAGTAACCCTAGATTATGGGTAAAAACAGACATTCTGTTCCTCTCTGAGGAGTCTGTACACTAGACTAGTAGTAAGAGCAGGCAGTATGAGGAGAAACACTAGGCTAGGAGTAAAGTTTGGAAGTCTACATCAGTGTTTCTCAACCTTTTTTCAGTCAAGGCACCCTTTAATATTATGGACAGTCCCGAGGCACCCTTTAAAATTATGGACAGTCCCGAGGCACCCTTTAAAATTATGGACAGTCCCGAGGCACCCTTTAAAATTATGGACAGTCCTGAGGCACCCTTTAATATTATGGACAGTCCCGAGGCACCCTTTAAAATTATGGACAGTCCCGAGGCACCCTTTAAAATTATGGACAGTCCTGAGGCACCCTTTAATATTATGGACAGTCCCGAGGCACCCTTTAAAATTATGGACAGTCCCGAGGCACCCTTTAAAATTATGGACAGTCTTGAGGCACCCCATTCTAAAATGTGAAAAACTATTCTAGTTTTATATAATGCAGCAACATCCACACATGTAGGACACCCAACGTTAGAGGTGATTTATTTTTTCAAAAGCAAATACACATTTGCACACTGGTAGTGACTATTATTTCAGTGGACGGTCCCGAGGCACCTTACAAATTATGGACATCCCGAGGCACCCTTTAAAATTATGGACAGTCCCGAGGCACCCTTTAAAATTATGGACAGTCCCGATGTACCCTTTAAAATTATGGACAGTCCCGAGGTACCCTTTAAAATTATGGACAGTCCCGAGGCACCCTTTAAAATTATGGACGGTCCCGAGGCACCCTTTAAAATTATGGACGGTCCCGAGGCACCCCATTCTAAAATGTGAAAAACTATTCTAGTTTTATATAATGCAGCAACATCCACACATGTAGGACACCCAACGTTAGAGGTGATTTATTTTTCCAAAAGCAAATACACTTTTGCACACTGGTACTGACTAGAATTCCAGTGTTTCTCCTCTCCCTCAGGTTTTTCTCCATCACTCAGCTAACGTGACCCCAGTACTGATGGACAGAGGCAGGGGAGGGTCAAACCTAGGATGCTGTGCAGGCAGCTGACATCCTCCCTAGCAACTGATGATGTCATTGGTTGTCAGGATACCAGCCGCTAGAAGGTTGTAATGGTGCTGTAACGGATTTCCGGTAAGACGAATGGCGCATAGAAATGCGCATGCATATAGGAACGTCCAGAGAACAGTGGTCAGTTGTGCGCATGCGCGTGGAAATGCACGATCGTGCACACGCACGGCGAAGATTGGTGCCAGACGGGCTATTTAAAGAGTGCCTCTGCCCATGTTAGGTGCTGACTAGTCTTCAGCTCCCCCGTGTCCTGCTTGTTCCTGTGTGATTCCTTTGTTGCTGACCCGGCTTGTTCCTGACCTGACTCTGATTGCTCTCCTGCTCCTGGTTCCTGACTTTGGCTCTGCTCCTGACTTTGGCTTTTCCTCCTGATTCTGTACCGCGCTGTCCGACTGTTGATGACCCTGGCTATTCCGTGGCACTGCTCCTGTCTCTTACCCTCACTGCCTGCCTTGCTCTGGTGCACGCCTGGCGATCTACAAGAACCGTTCTGCTTGTTACTACGGTGCCTGAATCAGAAGATCATCAGTCTTCCAAAGTCATCATCTGCAAGAGCTGCAACCAATATCTACTGGCGCTCCTGTCCCTCTGGTCCCTAGACTCCCTCTGTTCCAACTCCAGTGGGGTCAGGGCTAGTGACACAAGTGAGGCCGACCTCGTCATTTCAGTCTTTCAGGTACGTGACAGGTGTACAATGAAAACCTCTGGCTTTGTGCAACTAAAAGGCAGGCTTGCTCCACCCACTGGTTTGTATACAATGTTTGGGCAATTTTTAGACATTTTGCCAAGGCACCCCTGAAGAAACCTCAAGGCACCCCAGGGTGCCCGGGCACCCTGGTTGAGAAAGGCTGGTCTACAGGAGGTATACTAGACTAGGAGTAAGGGCTCATAGTCTGGAGGAGGAACCCTAGTCTGGGAGTATGGGCTTGTAGTCTAGAGGAGGTACATTAGACCAGGAGTAAGAGTTGGTAGTCTGAAGGACGTACAGTAGAATAGGAATAAGAGCTGGTAGCCTAGAGGAGGTATACTAGACTAGGAGTAAGGGCTGGTAGTCTGGAGGAGGTACACTAGTCTAGGAGTATGGGCTGGTAGTCTAGAGGAGGTACATTAGACTAGGAGTAAGAGTTGGTAGTCTGAAGGATGTACAATAGACTAGTAGTAAGGGCTTGTAGTCTGGAGGAGGTACATTAGACTAGGAGTAAGAGTTGGTAGTCTGAATGACGTACAATAGACTAGGAGTAAGAGCTGGTAGCCTAGAGGAGGTATACTAGACTAGGAGTAAGGGCTGGTAGTCTAAAGGAGGTAAACTAGACTAGGACTAGGGGCTGGTAGTCTGGAAAGTAACACAAGACTGGGTAAAGGCTCTGGATAAAGAATATTAGATTCTGGTAAAGACTAAAGACTAGCCCTTTGCATGCGAATCACTAGCCTCTGGGTAAGGCTGGCAGTCTGGAGGTAGAACACTAGATTGTAAGTACTTGCAGACTGGAGAAACACAAAACGGTGGCCAAGGGCTGTTAGACAGAGTGCTAGAATAAGATTCACATGTATATAAAACAGAAAAACCTATTTTACTATGAAGGAAAGGGCCGCTCTATGATGATGTCACACAAAATAGGTACGTTTATTTGATAGACAGCAAACACCATATCCTTCTGCCCCTCTAACGTGTTTTACCCATCCAGGCTTAGTCATAGAGATTACGGCAGCTCAATGCAGCAAGGTTCCGTGTTTCTTATAACAAACTTATTTTGCTTTGAATAGATTAGAGAAATGGTTTTTAGCCTTTCAGTTTTTCGTGGTTTTTTTTTTGCTTTCTGTGTCCTGCTTGGAAGATTTCCCTTCACTTCCTTTCCTGGTGACATAGCAGGAGATGATAGGAAATCTCACCAAAGTGAGGGGAATTCTCGTCTAAGTTGTCACCAAAATGTCTGTTCCCAGTGAAAGATTTCCCCTCTCCTCTTGCTCTGGTGACAACTGTAACATTTTGACTTTCCTCTGTCTCGACGGCAATGGTTGCCAGAACAAATAGAAAGGATAAATCTCCCCAGCATGTACACAGACAATAAAAACCTGACAGAGGGTCTTAACCACTCAAAAGTGTAAAAAAAAATATTTTGCCTTTATATACACTTTCATGGTATGCAATCTCTGTGAAAATGCTAGATTATATAATAAGGGTAGACACTACATGAAGAATGCTAGTATATGGGTAAGGGCAGGAAATCTTGACAAGGATTACTGGGCTGTGAATCTGGACTTTCAGTTTGGAGGAGGAATGATAGATTTAGGATGAGGACTGGTAGTCTAGAACAATGCATCTCAACCAGGGTGCTGTGGCAAAAGGACAAAAAACTGTCCCAGCCCTGTACATTCTGATCTGAGAGTGATCCTGTGTTAACTCCTGTACACAGAGAGGAAGAAGAGAGCACAGCCCATGTCTCCTCCCAGTTACCTCCTCCTCTCTGCTGCTATCTATAATAAAGTTGGCAACCTAGAAAGCTGTGCGGGTCACCCGACATGTCCTTAGCAACCAAAGATGTCGTTGGTTGCCAGGATGCAGGCAGGTGGCCCACAGAGATTTCTAGGTTGCTGGTTTTAGTTTAGCAGCAGATAGGAGGAGAGAGCCCTGGGGAGGTGCAGGCTGTGCTCCCTCACTCCTTTCTGTATACAGGAGTTAACACAGGATCGCTCTCAGATCTGAATTTACAGGGTCCTTTTGCCACAGCACCCTGGTGGGGCGGTAATCAAACCCTGTACATTCGGATCTGAGAGTGATCTTGTGTTAACTCCTGTATACAGACAGAAAGGACATGAGCTGGAGCAGGGGAAGGAGAAAGACCACAGTCCACACCTCCTTCCGGCTAGGAGTGGGTATTTGTTCTAGGAGGGGGATTTAGGAGCAGGGGGTTTGTGATAGGAGGATTGAATTGGGAGGGGTTGTGCAAGGAAGGGGGAAATGAGGAGGGAGTATTTGTGCGAGGATGGGGGATTTGGGGGGTGTATTTGTGCTAGGAGGGGGGATTTGGATGGGGGGGAGTTGTGCTAGGGGAGGCGGTTTTGAAGGAAGGGATTTGTGCTAGGAGTGGGTATTTGTGCTAGGAGGGGGTTTAGGAGCAGGGGGTTTGTGATAGGAGGATTAAATTGGGAGTGGTTGTGCTAGGAAGGGGGAAATGGGGGGGGGGGGTATTTTGTGTGAGGATGGGGGATTTGGGGGAAGCATTTGTACTAGGAGAGGGGATTTGGGGGCTGTATTTGTGCTAGGAGGGGGGATTTGGGGGTGTATTTGTGCTAGGAGGGGGGATTTGGGGTGGGGGAAGTTGTGCTAGGGGAGGCGGTTTTGAAGGAAGGGATTTGTGCTAGGAGTGGGTATTTTGTGCTAGGAAGGGGGATTTAGGAGCAGGGGGGTTTGTGCTAGGAAGTGGATTTTGGGGGGAGAAGATTTTCAACCTACAGACCACTGAACTCTGCCTCACGGAGTACACTCTAGGGCTTGTTCACACCAGGTGCAGTGCGGTAACACATGCAAAATTGAGCGTATTCCTGCACCACACAAAAATGTACTGCCTTTTGCAGACACACGTGGGAGCCATTAACTTTTAATGGCACCATCGCGCAGCTAGCAAATGCGCATATATTCGCGTCTGCTAAAACACATAATACCGCAGCACCATGTGTTTTGGTGCGGCATCATTTTGAAAATCATGCCAGCACCTTTTTGCATGTTTCACACGCAAAAAGCAGCCCATTAAAAAAACGCAACATGCGGGCAATGTGCAAGAAGCACGCAGGCTCAAACTCACCTATTGGTGTGAACGAACTCTAAGACTGGCGTGCTCCAGGATTGTGCGCAATTCCCTTGAAAGAGAAAAGGTTGGGAAGCACTGGTCTAGAAAAGAAGCACTAGATCAGTGGTTCTCAACCTGTAGGTCGTGACCCCTTTGGGGGGTCTAACGACAATTTCACAGGGGTCACCTAAGACCATCGGAAAACACATATTTCCAATGTGTAATGAGCAGCTACTGTGCAGAAAGCAGATGCTGTGTTGAAAGCAGCTACTGTGTAGAAAGCAGCTACTGTGCAGAAAGCAGCTGCTGTGTTGAACGCAGCTACTGTGTAGAAAGCAGCTACTGTGCAGAAAGCAGCTGCTGTGTTGAAAGCAGCTACTGTGTAGAAAGCAGCTACTTTGTAGAAAGCAGCTACTGTGTTGAAAGCAGCTGCTGTGTTGAAAGCAGCTACTCTGTTAAAAGCAGCTACTGTGTTGAGAGCAGCTACTGTGTTGAAAGCAGCTACTGTGTTGAGAGCAGCTACTGTGTTGAAAGCAGTAGTATTGGAGGTAAAACGACATTTCATGAATTATAATTACTGGGTAAATCATTTTATGGTTGGGGGTCACCACAACATGAGGAACTGTATTAAAGGGTCGCGGCATTAGGAAGGTTGAGATCCACTGCGGACTAGATGGTGGGTAAGGGCTGGTATAGTATATAAGTATTACCAAGCTGAAAGGACTGTCAGACCATGAACCTATCACTACATATTTTGTTTTTTACTTTTGAGCAACACAAAAATGCAACATTCATCTTCGCTATAGGCGTTCCACAAATTCTGCGTCCTTAGCCATAAAAACTACTATCCTTGCAGTTCTTTCTAGAACATAAACATCCATTCCAACATTAAACCTGCCAGGAAAAGTCTAAATATAAAACAACTCTTTTTTCTTTTTACTCTTTGAGATTCTCAGGGTGATATTGTTGGAGTTAAAGGGATAAGTGCGGTGAAGAGCAATTACTGAAATGG